CGGACGAGGGGAGCGGGCGGAGCGCGCAGCCCGCGCGGCTGCTCCCCCCTTCGCTCGCAGAAGGGCAAAGCCGAGATCCCCCCCGCCAAGAGGAGCCACCAGCCAAGAGGCTCTTCCCCGCAGCCCGGGAAGAGCGCCCTGCTCCGGCACGGCTCCCGGCCGGCCGCTTCCTGGAGCCGGCAGGACGCTCAGCAGTGACTCATCCGCGCAGGGACTTTTCTCCCCCACCCAAAATCTCAACGCTACTCACTGCATTACTCACCGCAGCAGCCAGAAATAGCCCGTTAGCAACCTGAAGTCGACTTCCGCAGACAAGTAAGGTCGGAGCCTCCTGGCGGCCTGCAGCCCGCTCGGCCCCGGGCAGGCTCGGGGCTCGGGGAACCCGGCTCACCCAGGCAAAACTGGTTTTGGCACAGCCAGGCTCTGCCCCGCGTTCCTGCAGGAGAGATTAGCTTATCGCTCCGGTGGCCTTTGGTCACTGAGGAGCACAAGGTCCCTCCCTGGGATGCGCAATGCAAAGGGCCCTGGGCTGCCCCGTAACACCCTCCCCAGGGCACAGGCTGGTGACAGGCAGCAGCCCGCCTGGAGGCGATTCAAGCAGGAGAGCTCTACCGAAACTGCCAGCAGGTCAAATGGCTAAAAAGAAGCAGTCACCAACGTTAGATGTGGAAATTCAGGTTACAAAGCTTGCCGAGCGTTCAGCATCCAGTGCTATAATAAAAGCTGGGGGCTGAAATACCTTAACGAACTAACCTGGCATGTGGAGCGAGCGAGGTTTTCAGGAGCGAGCAGCATTTTAGGAGCCTAATTTGAGATTTTTTGTGTTTGCTCTTTTGAACAAAACCTACACAGGCAGCCATGAAATGCTGTGGCATTCACATGGCATTCAGCATGCCCAGAAACTGCAAAACGAAACAAAATTGCTCTGCTCTATTTTTCAAGCAGCTACTCTAAAGTCATCGCGGTAAAAATAGCAAGGGCTCCAACACAGCCGTTACAGTACGAGCCTCTCCCAGCTCCATGACTCAAGACACCAAGTGCCTGCTGAGTAGGAAATGGGGAATTCCTCTGGAAACAGGATGCATCTTTCATCCAGTTTCTG